TAATGAAAAGAAAAAAAAGTATAATGGGTGTGTGTGTGCGTGTGTGTGACGTAATTAAAACTACAATAGTGTATCAAAAACAAAAAATAATAATAATGATAAAATTGTTTTGTAGCGTGCGAAAAAATTTTTTTTTTTTTAACAAGTTTATACTGTGGACGAAATACTGTGAAGAAGTTTTTTCATTTTCGTTTGATTTTGGCGAATGGGGGGACGGGGGACAGGGAGAAACCTTTTTTTTATATGGGGGATAAAAGTTCAAAAGATTTTCCAAACTCATTTTATAAATTAAATTATTACACTGCAAAATGATACGTGAAAAAAAAAAAAAAATTTTGTCGTAAAAAAAAAAACCGTTTTGATTTCAGGTACGTAAAACGCTATCGATATAAAATATTACCATCATCATCATCATCATCATCATCATTATTATTATTATTATTATTATTATTATTATTATTATTATTATTATTATTATTAATTTGAGTACGATTTAAAATTATTATATTTTAAAACTGGAATACCCTGGATAAATATAATTGCAATGTACAAAAAAAAAAAAAAATCGTAAAGTCGTCGTTTTTTATCAACATTAAAAAAATCTTTTCTTTTAAACCCCCCTCCCCCGCCCGGTCCCCTTTAAAAAAAAAAACAAAATGGAGACGGCAAAAAAAGCGCAAGTGAAGTGAGCAACCAACGACAATTTTTTTTTTTTTTTATTTAATGAAAACGTATTACGTACATGTTTTTGGTTTTAAATATCCATTTTCGTTTGTTGTTGTTGTTTTTTTTTCTTTTTTCAAAGGTTCAACAACCGGAATAAAAAAAAAAAATTTTTTTAAATTTCCTTTTATTTTTCTTTTTTCAACAATAAAAATAATTTTTTTTGTACTACAATAATAATTATTCACACGATTTATTACTCGATTCCATTCGAATTTTTTAACACTTTTCCAAAATTTCCATAAGCGTTAAAATAATCATTATTAATAAAATAAAATGTCTTCTGCTAGCGACGATTCAAAAAAAAAAAAAAAATTATATTACGATGCTAAAAGCCAAAAAAAATTGAAAAAAATTTCCGCTCATAAGCTAAACATTAAAATAAAAATATTAAATTTTGATTGGTAGATCTTTGAGTCTCTCTCTCTCTTTCTTTTTTATATTTTAAATATTTAATTATTCGTTTCATAAGTAATAATAATAATAATTTTTTACTTTTTTTTTCTTTTTTTCTTTTTTTTTTTTACTTTTTTTTTTTTTTTTTTAAAACATTCGCGTTTTGGTTGGTTTCATTCAACAACGGATTACTGGAACCCTCCCGGATTTAAAACCCGAAGGCTTTTATCGATTTTCTTTATTATCATTATTTTCATTTTACTCTGATAAACTTAAATTCTGTGACACTGGTTAAGGTTTTATCAATAAAATCCGAAATTTAATAGAAAAGAGAAAATTAACAAAGGTAATACCCCGAAGAAATAATAAACCTCCTGTTATTTCTTTTTCCAGCGATGACAACGACAACGACGACATTTTCCAGAGCTCACAAAAAAACAAAGAAAAAAATAAATTCCAAAATGATTTTTTTTTTTTTTAAAGAAACGAATTTTATTTAAAAGAAAAAAAACTTTAAACATTTTTTTTATATTTAGTAACGTTATTATTATTATTATTTTAAATTGTTCGAACTGGAACACACTCTCCGAAATTTTTTTTTTGTTATTCATAATCAAAAAATTCTTAAATGAAAAATTGATTTTATTTCGTGCCATTTCTTCCCTTCCTTTCTCCCAACTCTCAACCCCCCTCCCTTAAAATTCCGCCATTTTTATTTAGATCGAAAACCTTTTGATGAAAATCGAAAATTTATCCAGGTTTTTTTTTTTTTTTTTTAAAATAAATTTCACGGCGATTTTTTTTTTTTTCTAGTAAAAAAAGGTTTAACTCCCGGATTTTTCCTGGATGAAATATTTTACCCGTAACAGGAGGAGGAAGAGGAACAAAGAAAAGGGGAGGGAAAAGGGAAAAAAATTAATTTTTTTTTTGACATGGCGATTACAATTGTAAATAAAAAAAAGTCACATAATAAAGACACCTTTGGGGGGGATGAAAAAAAAAGGATAATGGGAAAACGCGCGTTTTTTTTTTGTTAAATGATCGTACGGGGACTTGTTCTCTTCTGCTGGTCGTGACAGTAAAAACAAAAACAAACAATTTATTATTATTATTATTATTATTTTTATACGAAAAGACAAAAGGAAAAAACCAACAAGTGTTGCCCGCCACGTCTTTTTTCTTCTTGTTCATTTTCGTGATATCGTAATTTGTGATAAAAATAATTTTTTTTCCTGGTTACACCGGGAAGGATTTTCCGGGGGGAGGGGGAAGGGGTAGAAGAAAGAAAAAAAATTTTTTCTGTCGGAAAATTTTTTTCTCAAAGTAAATTAGATAAAAAGAAGAAAAAAAAAAGTAAAATGATACAAATGATACAAATAGAAAAGAACAAAAAGAAAATGGGGGGAGTAAGGAAGGGAAGGAAGGGGAAGAAGAAAAAAGAAAGTTTTTTGTCACGTTTTTTTTCCTTTTCTTTCTTTCTTTATTTGCGTGTTTTTTTTTCTTTTTCCACTTTTTTTTTTTTTTTTGATTAATAGCTTTTCTGTCGTCGTGACGTAATATTTTTAATGTAAAAAAAAAAAAAACAATAGATAAAGTTAAAAAGGTTTTAAATTATTCTTACATAAATCAAATCCGAAGAGGATACAATAAAAAATTTTTTTCTTTTCTATATTACGCGGGATTTATTCTAGAATATTCTTTGACCGTTTTGAAAAAAAAAAGTTTTTTTTTAAAATACCTGACACGAAAAAAAGGTCACCTGTTTGTCGTCGTTTCGGGTACGTTTCTCAAAAAAAAAAAAAACCGAAAAAATTGACTTTCGACTTTAAAAAAAAATAATAATAATGATAATTTTTCGTTTGGCGCCATCATCTGATATATTTTTAAAACATTATAATAAAAGATTTAAATCTTTTTTTTTTTCGAACTTTGGCATTGGCACACCTGTAAAAAAAAATTTTTTTTTCAGGTAGGACCTCTTTAATAACCTTGAATGAGATAAATAATAAAAAAAAAGTTATGTTTGCATTTATTGTATATTTCTTTTGTGATCATCATCATCATCATTATTATAAGATAAAAATAATTATTTAATTTTGTCATTAGTTAAAGAGTCAAAAGAAAAATTTAACAACAACAACAACCGGCGAGAGGAAACAAACGAGAGGAAGAAAAGAAAATAACAAACAATATGATTTTCGTCAAAAGATTCCCTTATTATCTGTAATTACTTAAGTAAAAAAAAAAAAATATTTCGCCCAGTCGATGATAAATAAAAAATAATTAATTAAATAATTACAAAGACCTCTCCTTCTTCTTCTTTTTTTTCTCCTTCTCCCTCGTGATCCCTAGGGATCCCCTTCTCAACTTCCTTCGTTAAAAATTTAAAAAAAAAAAAAAAAAAATTTTCCGCCGTTTCGAGTAAATTTTTTTTTTCCCCGATAATTTTTAATAAAATTCTCTGTTGTGTATTTTTTTTTTTTTATTTAATTAAAAGCCTATTTCTCTTTGTACGGCAGCAAAAAAAATTGGTGTTGTTAACGTACTGCTTAAAAAAAAAACAAATCAATTTTATCAATGTTTTTCTTTTTTTTCGTTGATAAATTCCATTTTAAATAAATAAAAACTTTTTAAGCTGATTAAATATTTTATTATTATTAGAATCATCACTATCATCATCATCATCATTGTCAACGTCATCATCATCATCGTCATTATCATCATCATTATCATCACAGTTAAAAATTTTCAAAGAGAACCGTGAGGAAAAGAAAAAGAAAAAGAACCGATGTGTAAAATAATTTTTATCATATTGTCCAAAAGTTGTTTTATCAAATTTTTTTTATTTCTAATTCCACGTGTCATTTGCCATATTTAATTAATTAAATTAAGACGTATAAAAATTCCCTGCCAAGTGGATTTTACTTAACCATTTGTAAAACATAAAATTTTAAAAATTTATTACATATATTTAATCCGTCGAAATTGAAACGTTAAACCTTTTGTGCGTGTGTGTGTGTGTCTGTGTTTATCTATATTGATTATTTAGTTAAGAAAACCTTTACTAATAATAATAATAATAAAAATAATTTGTCGAAAAAGTTTAAGGATAAAAGCCACAAGGTGACTCAGAGCCTTTTTTTTGTTAACCTTTCGTACCATTTCGTGTCTGGTAACTTTTTTTTTTTTTTCATATTGATTTCGTCAAAATATTTTCACTTTTATAAAAGTAATTCGGAACAAGGGTCTTGATAAAATTAAAAATTATGAAATTTGTTATACATTTAAGTTTTACATTTGTATAACGTAAATATTTCAGAAACGCGATAACGTTGTAATAATACGTAAAATGATTTTTTCGAAATTGGAGTGATGTGATGTTTTTTTCCGACGTAAAAACAAATTGATTGGTTCTTTTTTTTTTAAATATGACCGGTTGTAAAAGTTTATATTTTATTTGCTTGGAATATTGCGTTTTACGTTTGGAAAATTATTCTAGAAATTTAACGGAAAATGAAAGTTACCAAAGCAAATGGATTGAAAATTTGGGCAAGTGAAATTTTATAACCAAAAACTTTTTTATAAAATATACTATGCATATTATTATCATTATTATTTTGTTTTTTTACTCGAAAATCGTAGGAGGTTCAATAGCAGAAGATTTATTAAATTACGCATATCAAAAATCAAATTTAGATAAAAATAAAAAAAAAATATGGAAAGACGAATGGAAAATTTTTTTCACGAGTAAAATGAAATTCGTCACACTCGTATGGGACGACGATTTGATCGGTTATGTTGGTAGAATTTGCAAGGTAAAAAATGAGATGATGATAATGTACAAATATCCGTTCGGATATTCAAAAAAAAAAAAAATTCATCTTTTTCAGAATCTCGAACTGTGTAAAATTGTCGGAATAAAAAGATTCACGGCTGAAACGATTTTAGAATTGCCAAAAAGTTTAAAAATTTTAGATTTCGACGGTGAATTGATAAGAAAAAATGAAATTATTAAAAGATTGATAATAAACGATGACGTATTACAAAGTTGGCTACCCCAATCAGAAACTTTATTAAAGTAAATAAAAACAATTTTTTTTCCTTATTATTCTGTTTAAAAGTTAATATTATTATTATTATCAAACAGGAAATTGTTGATCGTTCAATCGCGTCCTTTAAATTTTCAATCATCATCAAACGAGTCATTTATTACTCACGCACATTTGGGTAATTTAAAAATCTCCGCATTAGACATACAAATAATAATAAAAAATTGTCCGAATCTTGTTTTGTTACGTCACTATCAAATGGTTGCTGCTCTTTATCAAATGCATAACGAAACGTGGAAGAAGAATAAAAACGATACTAAAACCTTACCTAAATATCATTTGAAAAATTTAGATGTTGATTTTTCACACGTGGTAAGAAAACGACACAATTTCTTATTTTTTGTTTGTAACGGAAATCATTTGAAAATGTTTTTTTTTTTTTTTCAAGGTCAGGTTTAGAATGTCACCCAAATGGGTTCTTTCGCCGGATGCTCTTCAACTGGCAACATTATTATGTCCATCTGCTACGAGCATACGAGTTCGTTTTGATTGCAGCACACCTCATGATGTTCTATCATCTTTGGAAACTTTGAAAAAGATAAAAGATTCAGTGCCGTATGCGTATCGAGCGGCGAAAGAACTTTACTCGATTTTACTGATATGATACCATTATTGGAAAAATACGGACCTACCACACTCGGTTTTCTAGAATTGAAGGTACGTTTTCCTCCCTTTTTTCTTCGTCCCTCCCCCCCTCTCTCTCTCTCTGTATGCTTTTTGTCGATAGGTTATCGAAGATATAGATATTCACGTCATTATAAACAATTGCGTCAAATTGGAAACCATCGTGCTAAGCGGTTGCGGATTTGTTATGCCACCAACGTGCGAAAGTTTCGATTGTAAAAAATATAAAAAAGGAATTTTTAAAAAGCTTAAAAATTTATTTTATGCGGATGGTGATGATTTTAGTTGGGATCACGGAGTACCCGATTGTTTTTGGAAAGCGACATTATGCTCTTCCGGTGATAATAATGATGATGAAATAAAAATCATTTAGCAATAATTAGTGACGATATGATTTAATGTTCCAGGTATATCGAGTCCTTGTAAACTTCAAAGTATATTTTTAGAATATCCAAAAATTACATCTTCTTTCATAAAAGAAATTATAGAATCAAATAAAGATTGGTCATCTGATCGTTCACCGTTTCCGGATCTTGAAATTTTAAGCTTGTGTAGATTTCACGAGTTAACATACGATGACTTGGCGTATATTTGCGGTCTTTTACCAAAAATAATAAAACCGAGTAGAAATTTAAAATATATAAGATTATCCGAATGTGAAAAAATTGATAAAAATGATGATAAGAAATTAATAAGATGGTTTAAAAGTTATGGAATCGATTTGAAGATTGACGTTGACAATTAAAACCTGTTTTAAAAAAAATTATTTTTCTTAATGTTACGCGTGTTACATTTTCTCATTTAGATTTTAACGTTTAAAGAAAAAAAAATTATTGTAAAAAGACATTATTTACTCATTTTTATTTTACGAGATGAAAAGGTTTTCATATAAAAAAAAATAAAATATGTATATATAAAATGATTTGAAAATCTAAATTTTCGTTGTAAACACCTGATACCTGTTACCCCAAAATGATTAATTAACGAACACAATGAAATATATAAGTGCGTGTGCGTGTGTGTGCATATTTAAATATGAAAAATTATTATTTTTTGTGTACTTTTTGGATTTAAACCTCGAAAAAAAAATTATTTCTTTCTTTCTTTCTTTCTCTCTCTGTCTGATTCTTTGACTTACAATTTCATTTTCTCTCTCTCTCTCTCTCTCTCTGCTTTCCTATTTTCTTATATGTTTCTCTCTCTCTCTATCTCTCTGAATACTTTTCTTTTTCTTTGTATTTCTTCCCCTGAATCCCTTTTCTTTCTGTCTTATTTTTCTTTCTCTTTTTTTCCCTTTATTACTCGGTTTAGTTTTTCTTTTTTCTTTGTTTATCTTTTACTCTCTTTCCCTTCCTCTCTCTCTCTCTCTTTTCATTCACTCACATCATTGTTTTTTTTTTTTTTTAGATTAAAAAACTTTTTAATCAATATCAATTTTTCACTTCTTTTTCACGTCAATGAAATTCGGAATCGAGTTTTTTTTTCTTTTTTTTCTATTCACGTTTTTATTAAAATTTTTGTTGTTGTTGTTGTTGCTGTTGTTCCTTGTTTTTTTTTTTATTAACTTTTTCCAAAAAAAAAAAAAAAAAACTTTTATGCTCACGAGTTTCTATCTTCCTCTCCCACCCTCTCCTCATTCACTTTATCATTAAAAAAAAAAAATTTTTTCGAGCATGTTTTGTCGTTTTTTTATTTAAGCGTTCGCTCTTAAAAACGTCCGTACGATTAAATCCCCGTTCGCGTGTACGAAAAAATATTTATGTATAAAAAAAAAAAAAATGTCGGAAGTTGAAAACAATAAGTGTCAAATAATAACTCGAGTGGATTTTAAAAGAGTTTATATATATAATAGCGTCGAATCGCAAGAGGTTTTTTTTTTTTGATAAGGGCGGAGGGGAAGAGGAGGGGAAGAGGAGGGGAGGAAAAGGGGAAAAAAAATTTTTTTTTAAACCGGAAATCTCGTAGAAAAAAAAAATTTATGTTTAAACAATTTAAAAACATAAACGCAATTGAAAAAAAAAAAAAAATGGCCAAAAACATGTCGGTAAACACAAGTTTTCTTTTTCCCGTTAAAAATTCTTTAAACAGTTTTTATGTTTTTGTTTTTGTTTGTTTGTTTGTTATAAAACTTTAATAAAAAAACAAAAAAACAAAAATTGAGAAAAAGTTCCTGGAAAAAAGAAAAAAAAAACCTGAAAAAAGGATTAAAAAAAAAAATGGTGAAAAGGAAAAAAAATAAATAAATAAATAAATAAATTGGAAGGAGGGAAAAACAAAAACATGGAGAAATTTAGATAACAAAAAAAAAAAACAAAAAAAAACAAAAAATTGAAAAAATAATAATAATGATAATAATAATAGGACAAAACCGTAAAAAAAAGATAAAAAAAAAAACGAGAGAGAAAAAAAAAGGGAAAAAATCGATAATTAAAACAAAACCGCACAAAAAAAAAAAAAAAATTTTCCAACTGTTATCAAACACGTTTGTAGTTTCGTTCACTTTTTAATCCGTTTTTTAACAAAACAACAACAACAAACAAACAAACAAACAAACAAAAACGACAATAACAACGGACAAATCCTTTTTTTTTGCTGTAATTCCTTTGTGACCAAACCCGAATACGAATCGATTTTTACCGAATCGAATTCGATCGAAATTTTTTTTTTTTCCCTACTTTTTTGTTTTCATTCATAAAAACAAAAAACGTCATCGATTGATTACGTCACCGATAATAAAATATTCCTACTGTAAAAATAAATTTATTTATTTAATTTTTTTATAATAACTTTTAATAATTGATTTATTTATTATTACGTAATTATTTCAATTTTCGAACGAGATTGAATAAATAAACAAACAAGCAGACAAACAAACAAACAATCGAACAAACGAATTTTTCTTTCCTTTTTTTTTTTTTTATTAATTTCGTAAACGATGATCACGTGTTTTTTATTTTTTGGAATTTTTCTTTTATTTTTTTTCCTTATTCTCTGTTTACCCATTTCTTTTCGTCTCTCTCTCTCTCTCTCTTTATCTTTCTCTTTTTTTATTTTTCATATTTTTTTTTTTTTTTTTGAAAGAATTTATTTAAGAAAAAAAAAGAAAAAAGGGAAAAACGTTTCATAAAATAAAAAATGGAAAATTTTCGACGCGTACCTTATTTCTCCGCCGTAATAAAATAGACCCTCGGGATTCGTTCGACCTACTTTTACTCTGTTGTTTCGTTTTTTTTCCGGTTTTTCACTTTTTTTTTTTGAAAAAGTTTTTTTTTTTTTCTTATCCACCCTAAAACCTTTAAAAACATTATTATTATTATTATTATTATTATTATTATTATTATTATTTTTTTTTTTTAAGATATCAAAATAAGGAAAATAAGGAAAAAAAAGAAAAAATTTTAAATGAAGAGACACGAAAAGGCTTTCGAAAAAAAAAAAAATTTTTTAAAGAAAAATTATCTTTTTTTTTCTAGGTATTTTTAATCACCTGGTGCTCTCTGGGAGAGGGAGTGATGAGAAAAAGAGAGAGAGATGGGAAATAAAAAATAAATGATTTTATTATTAAAACGAATTAGAGAGAGAGAAAGAGAGAGAGAGAGAGAGGAAGAAAGAAAAATTTTTGCGTTGCGTTAGCTGAGTTGAAATGATGAAAATTTTTGATTCTTTTTTAAATTCTATTTTTTTTTTATCCACTCTCACTCTGTCTCTCTCTCTCTCTCTGTCTTTCCTCTTCCATCTCTATCACTCTTATTTTATCTTATAAAAAAACTTTCCCTCGATAACCGATTTTCACTCAAAAAAAAAAAAAATGAAAACCTAATTTTCATTCGGAAATGATTTGACGAGAACTTTTAATTCGTTTTATTTCCTTTCCGAAATTTTCCCCCCACTCCCCTCTCCCGTTTCCGTTTCATTTTCCCTTTTTCCAAAAAAAAAAAATTTCCCTTCTTTTCTCCCTTCTGCCTCTCCTCTCGTTCGTTTTTTTATTTTTTATTTTTAATTTAAATTAAAATTTTTTAACCTACGGAAAAACCTTTTCCCATAATTTTCCCTGCTCCCACCCTAAAATCCTTTTCATAAAATCATTATTATTATTATTATCGCGAGAGCGTATACATAAATACCTAAGGTTTATGTATATACATATAAACATATCAATTTCTTATTTATATAAATATATTTTTCAATATTTAAAATTTCTATAAAATATTTTTTACAAAAGGTTTCAATAAAGTTTTTCATTTATTCAAAAATGACGTCATAAAAAAAAAAACCGGAAACTTTATTTTCAACGTCGAAATGAAAACTTATCGAAATTTAACAAACAAAACTAATATATAGATGTATCTAAGTAAATATTTTCTTTTTCCTTTTTTTTTTTTTTTGTTAATGTCGCCCGAGAGATTTTCTTAAACATAAATTTTATTTTCACTTTTAAAAACATCAACAGTTGGCCCGTTTTAAATTTTCAAACAATATTATATATATATATATATTTATATAATCTAATTCAATTTTTCTTTTTTGTGGGGAGAGTGGGGGGCTTAGTGTGACTTTTTGAATTTAACATTGAAAAACTTTCAAATCACAAAGCTGTCACAATACGTTTCCATTGTTTTTTTACATAAAAAACAAACCCCCCCCCCCAAAAAAAAAAATGTCAAAATAGTTTATTATGCTTTGTTTTCTTTTTTTTTCTTTTTGTAACGGTAGAAACTACATTCGACCAAGGAATTATTATTATTATTATTATTATTATTATTATTATTATTATTATTATTTCAAAAGAAAAATTTTAAAAAAGGTTGCTTTTGTTATTGCGCGCGTTTTTTTTATACTTAAAATTACGATAAATCCTTAGATTACAGCACTGGTAAATTATTATATTGATTTCACTAATGCCACGTTTAATAGAAAAATTTTTTTAAAAATAAAAACTCCGGCCACGTTTTGTTATTTATTTAATGTGAATTAATAATTATATGGTTAATTAAATAAAATTATTATAGTTATAGCAAAGACGATGCTATATTTATATATATAATCTGTAGGGTTATTATATAGTCGAAGCTATATAAGCCCCCTGGGTCTTGTTATTCCATTTTTTTTTTATTTATTAAAAAATATTATTAATATTATTTTTTACTTTCCTTCACTCCACTTCCGTTCCCTCATTTCCTTCTACCTTTTCGATTTATTTATTACAAAAGTTTTGCCAACTTTATCTATTTATTATTATTATTATTATTATTATTATTATTTTGGTCAATGACCTCGTTGAAAGTTTCACGTGAAAAAAAAAGAAATTAATTAAATAATAATATTAATAACACGGTAAAAAATTTTTTTTTATAAATAATAATAATAATGATGATGATGATGATAATCAATTGCGTGAAATTTTTTTCGCGGCTTATTATTCTCCTCCACCTTTTTCCCTCCCTTTTTTCCTCCTTCTTTTATTCCCTTTTTTCTTCCCACCCCCTACTCCCTCCCCTTTCTTCCTACCCGGTACCTCCTTCTTTTCCCTCCCCTTTCTTCCTACCCGGTACCTCCTTCTTTTCCCTCCCCTTTCTTCCTACCCGGTACCTCCTTCTTTTCCCTCCCCTTTCTTCCTACCCGGTACCTCCTTCTTTTCCCTCCCCTTTTTTCCTCCTCCTTTTTTTCCTTCTTTTCCCTCCTTCTTAATCATGCCCAAAAAAAAAAAAAAAAAAAAAATTTCTGCGATTTATATCGTCGCACAAA